GCATAGTTATTATTATTATTATTATCATCATTATTATAATTATTATTTACTCTTACAGTTACGTGATGCGTTTCTGGTCTCAAATTGTAGCTTTTTACTTCTTACAGTTTATAAATGTGAATTTCTGTCATTATGGTTCCCTTTCATGGGAACTTCGAACTGCGTCCTCTAGGGGTCGCTATCGGGAACGCCTCGTCGTGACCCGTGTATGAAGCATACATTGAAAAAACACCAACTCGTTGGCCGGCGACAGCCATGACGTCACTACCGGTGCGACTATAGTATAAATAGGCGCCGGGAGCACACATCATTCTCTTCTTCGTCTTCATTGACTGTTTTGCTTGAAGTGTGCATTTCTGTGGTAAGAGCGATCTATTCATCTCATTATGGCGAGCACTAGCAAAGCATTTAAGGATGTGTGCATCAGTGTTGACGTTGTTTAACATCTGATGACACACAAGATCTATGCCGTATTTGTTTGGGCGAAGAGCAAGCACGCGATGCCTCCGAGGGGGCAATCGCGTGCACTGCGAGCGTTTTTTCCAAGGGAAAAGCTCCGCTCTCGTTTGTCTCTTTTTTCGAAGAAAGAGGGGCAGCCATCTGCTTCCCGCGATTCAGGACTCGCCGCTGCTGAGGCACGGAAGGGAATGAGCTCGTGGGGATCGCAGGTGGATCTGGCCGATGAGTTTGAAGAGGGGTTCCCTTTTGCGATCGTCGACTGTGAGCCGCTGGAGGATGATGTTATTTCATTAACATTGTCTGATTCAGGGGCTAGTGCTCTGCTGGGATCAGCCCAGCAAAAGCAGGAAATGTCTGAGGAGGGCAAAGAAGGGCAAAGAAGCTGAGGCTGAGCCTTCCCAATCCTCCTACCCTGCGTATGATGAGCTTTTGGAAATTATGGATCGTGCCACGGCGAGGCTTTACTTGCCGTGAAGCGGGGGAAGAAAGTGATGTCGCGAGTATCTTGATGAACGTTATTTTTCTGGGGATAACCCTCCAGCTCAGGTGAGCCTTCCTTTCTTCCTGTTTTCCTAATTAATGCTGTTCAGTTGCTTTGACACAATCTGTATTGTTAAAAGCGCTATATAAATAAAGGTGACTTGACTTGACTTGACTTTTCCATATAAAGGTTGAGAAGGAATGGAAGAGGCCGTTTTTTCCTCACGCATCCATCAATTCCAGCATACACGTTATGCCAACATCGAGGCGATGCACACTATCGCTCTATGGGTGAGACGTCCTCTAAGACTCCCCTCCTTGACATTTCACTCGGATGCCAGGGCATACGCAGCAGCAGCAGGTTGAGCTGTCGCTTCATTGCACACGATGGTGATGGTCCAAGCATATCAGGCTGATCTGCTGAAAGACCGGGATAGCGGCCTTCACGAAGTCCAGGTCTGAGCCCGAACAACCCAGGGGTCCTAGCCCGTCTCAGTTTGAGGATCAGAGACTGGCTCAGAAGACTAGTGTCGCGGCTCGCGCTCCTCCCCCGCCTGCGGGTAGGGGTAGGAAGAATCGCGGGTCAAAGGAAGGTGGACACAGTGTCTCGTTCCCTACTCAGGGAACCATGGTTACATAACTAACCTGAGACGTTTTCTTTACAATAATAAAGAGAATTTTATTAATTTTTTTATTTTTTATTTATTTATTAGAAAAGATTAGTTTGCCTCGGTCTTCTACCTATATAATCAGGGATGTGATTTGGTTTTATTCCCATATTTACACCGATGTCCGTATTTTTCGAACTGGGACCCACGTGAACTTTATTAATGCGACTGTATGGATACTAAAATTACCGCAAACAATGAAACTAACTGCAAATGCTGCGTTTTATTATTATTATTTTTAAACACGCATTCCTTGCTTCCAGTGGCCTCTGCAGGAGTTAGCGGCTTCATTTTCGGCTACATATCCTTTGTATTTCAAAATAATGATCACTCGGCAACAGTCTTCGATCTAATTAATTGCTAAATGATTTAACTACTGTATTTTAATTTTTTCTGTAACTTAAAGTATACTGTTTTGATGGAAATGCATGAAGTAATTTATTAAGATAATCCAATAGCGTATTTAACATAATTTAACGTCTAATGTTTAAAATGTTTTTAATGCAACAATCTCCTATCAAATATTTTGGTCAGTTCAAGAATTTATGCAGTTGTATATTATTCATTTGAAAGAAGTAAAAATGAGAGTTTGGTGTCTGTCCTTGTTTTGTTCAATTGGTCGAGGTTGATATTAGTAATTGCTTTCTAAATTCCATAAGCAGGCCCGGCCTCAAGGGGCCTGGCATAAGAGAACGTAAAAACTTATTAAGTACAACGTGACATAAAATGTGATGTGTAATTTCAATGTAAAAAAAATTTAAAAACAAAACGTTACTAATTTTAAATTGAATCGAGTTTTAATCATACCATAACCACTAAAAAAATATCGGGCAAAAATCTGACATGACCGTCAGACTGGTGGCAGGCGGAAATTTGTCTCTTAGTAACGCTAGCCTATCAGGGAGCTTCTTACAATTGCGTGATTCATCAATGATGGCTAGATAGATTACCATAAGGCAGTATAAAAATGGATATATGAAAATATATGATAAATCAGTCCCATAGTTTGCCAGATGCGACCGTGCAATTGCAAGCATCCAACAGCAACTCAGTAGACAGTTTGAACCAGTTCTGATGTGCATCGGGCCAGTGCAAAATCATAATACATTTTTCTTCTTTGCGAATAGTGACGATGATTAGTAATACTAATCACTTTGTTTAATAGGCAAAATTAAATTATATCGATACCAAACGCCCACTGACACTCACTGTATGTGCCCCCCCGGGCAGAAGGGATAGCCCCCCCTGTTAAAATGTTCTTGCGCCGGGACTGCTAATAAGTAATACTTTTTAGAGAGCGTAACCAGTACAGCAATCTAATGACACTGTTGAAGATGAAACTAGCAGTGTAATGTATATAATTTAAGAAAATATTAATGTATGTAGCTAGATATTTAATGTGCTTTTAGAATAGTTTTTTTACCCTACGGATTTGTAGACCAATTGTATTTTTGTTACAAATGCTTTTTAAATGTTTATATTACTCATTTTTGAAGATTGAATTATAAATGAAGTGCCAAACTGGATAGACAGTAATTTATTTAATAGTAAGTTTTAGACTTTATGTCTGTGTAACCCATTTTGTACGTCATATCCTATACATTTTTAATGTGTGTTTCTTTCATAGCTGAGGTCTCCAGATTGTTTGCACCTTACAGAGGAAACTCTACAAACAGGAGAGCTGCAGTTAAAAGGCCATCAACCACTTTGAGCAGCTACACCCATACATTTTTTGTCTTAGTGACCACTTGGCAGATATTGTCCCGACAAAACAAATCAAAATGGAGCTTGCACAAGCTGGCCTTGGTGAACAAAGGGTGACTTTTCAAGGTAAATATGTTAAGATGTATGTTTTTCTATTTCTTTTTTTGTTTTTGTTTGTTTATGTTCTTCATCTTTAGTCCTTAAGTCTAATAACTTGAACATGTTTATCTACTTTAGGTAATGATAATGATCTCAAATATTGACCCCAAGTCAACTTGAGTTGGTTTTTCCAAAAAATAAAAGATGCAGGGGGCTTTGAATTAATGAGGATCATGGGTACAACATGCAACCGCATGTTGTGCCTGATTGAAAGCCCCAGCGAAGGCTACACAGTGGGATGTCTCCGCAAGCTACACGCCATTATTGGACGGTCAATACTGTATATACGTCCCTTGCAGAGAAGCATCACGTTTGAGGTAAGAAATGTATTGCCATTGTTCATTCCTAATGATTTCAAG